GGACCCCGGTTCAAATCCCGGGGTCCCCGGAAAAGGAGGTTTTTTTTTTTTTTTTTTTTTTTTTTACTAAGTTTTTTAATAAAATTGTGCATGCCCACCTGGGATTGAACCCAGGTCCTTGTGCATTGCAGTTAGTGTCCTTAACCGCTATGCCATGGCACTTTCTTGAAGAAATGTGCTCGTTTCTAAATGTTAAACCTTCCATTGTTTGGACTTAGAATATTTTTCAGCCAAACTCTGCACTGGAGATAGGCAAGGGTGGAAGGCCTAGGAGCTGGAAGTCTGAGAGCTGATAGGAAGGGTAGAGTGGATGGCTGAGGGCTTGGGACTATCAGTATTAGAGCACTGAGGATCCCATGGGGTTGACGGACATAGCTTCATAATGTTTCATATTGCTATTGGGTTTATTGTAGCCCTTATAAGCTTGAGACTAATGGGCTCCAAGAGGGAACTTTATATAAGGAGCTGGGAAGATGATTAAGACTGGCAGTGCTTTCATGTAGGATGAGGCAGTAATGTAAAATCTAAAGATGGAAACAGATGTACCTTAAACTCTGGCAGTGTAACATGGTCCAGATTAGGAGAAGGGTCACGAGGCAAAGTACTACAGTTTTACAAATAGATAAACATGTACAAACAAGTTGTTCTGCTGGTTTAAATAAATGAGCATTTATTTCACTTGCAAATAGAAATTAACTGGTTACAGCAATAAATGGTGATGATTTACTTACATAAAGCATTATTGCACAGTAATCTTTTCAAATGAAACAAATTTCATGTCAGTGCTAAAAGGTCCTGTCAATGCACTAAAAGGTGTTTAGTAAAAAATATTGTTTTCGACATTAATTTAGGAACCAGAATTGTTCAAATTACACACACACATGTTGGCCGCAAAAAGCTAGTTTTTTGACTAAATTAAATATTTCTTTCATGCACAGAGTCAGGTCCTTAGAATGTTTCAAAAATTACATTTTTTCAGTAATTACCTTTCAGCACTGAGCCAACAATTTGGTGATAATATTAAGTGAAAGACTGTTTTGTAATGTTCTGGCAATGTGGATGTACCACTTGAAAAATACAAAATATAATTTGTCAAAGGAAAAACTTATAAAAGATGAACAAAGAAATTGACTGGAGCGGGATTTGAACCTACAACCTGTGGACCACTGTACCAGTGCTCTACCAACTGAGCTATCAAGCCCTATGTTGGTGGTCTTGCCCATTTGTCAATACATGTATCTCTGTTCGGGGGGAAACTTGTGAAAAGATTGGTTCAGAACAGCCACCGGGTTGACTGAACAGTGCTGGTATATTGGCTGCCTGAATGGAAACTCCATCAATTTTTGAAAGGATGCAATAGTTACAATCTTTTAGTCCTCAAAAGAAGTAGTCTTTCCAAATGGTAATTAATTGCAAATTTTGAAGTACGCGTGTAGCATTTTGATAACTTAAATGTGCATTAATACGAGTCAATGATTTACACTGAAAAGAAACAAATTAAAGGTGAACAACAGTCTTTCCTTAAAAGCAAACTGACCAATTGTCTATTCATTTAAGTCATGACTTGAATAATTTGGATGTAAGTACAGTACAACGTTGCTACACTGAACAATTCGGTTTATGGAACGTGAATCTTGGCTCCCAATTTTTCTGCGCACTTTTACTGAACATCACAAAGTTACTTTTAATTTAAGAAAAAAATTTGGGACTGATGACAGTGACTCAAAAGTCAAAATGTCAATAAACTGACATTTCAACACAAGAACTGGCACCCTCTCTGTTTTGGCAAACAGCGCCCTCTTTTGCCAGGACTTTCCCTTTTGTAATGGAAAATGGACACATCTTGATTTTTTAAGAAAATGTGACAATTGGAACGGAGCCAATTAAATTCGCAATAGTTGGGGAGGACTGCTACACCAAGCATTGTGTATGGACCCTGCCCTGTTCATTATAGCAGCATTGTACTATATACCAATATACACTACTCAAAAAAATTAAAGGATCAGTTATTAGTCTGAAAATTTCAGCCAGGTGTGTACCTCATTGACTTTACTTATTGTACACAGAAGCTCATGCTCATGTTTGGTTGAGCACCATAGAATGTGCGACAATGCAATTGGTTCATTATGTTTCAGAGCCCAATTAGCTAGAAGGGTAAAAAGCATTGGGTCGTGTATTGCTCAGGTATTGCACAACTTCACAATGGCTACTTTTCACTCTCTTTGCACATAAATTAAAGATGGGGTGACTCTGAGGCAAGGGGGGTAAAAGGCTGGGAGTGTCTTGGGGGGGGTACAATGACATGTTAGGACTGGCCAGTACTATACAACCCTATTGTGGTAAAATACACGTACGTGTCTCACTTTAGGGAACTCTTGTCATTTGATGTTTAGGGTTCGGAAATCTGTAAAGCTGTTTCTTTTCCAATGTCCTGACAACCACAAATTTGATTTTTTTTGTATCAATCATTATTTTTACAGATAATCATAAAATATGTGATTGGGGGAAGATTTGCAAACATACATGTACATGTGTGTAATTTGTTCATGCTGAGATGCATACATCTTCAAAGTGCTTCATTTCTGTGATTCAAAATCACAAGTAGTGTCCTCACATTACCTCAATATCATTCTAACTCATCAACAGCGCCCTCACATTACCTCAATCATTCTAACTCATGAACAGCGCCCTCACATTACCTCAATATCATTCTAACTCATCAACAGCGCCCTCACATTACCTCAATATCATTCTAACTCATCAACAGCGCCCTCACATTACTTCAATATCATTCTAACTCATCAACAGCGCCCTCACATTACTTCAATATCATTCTAACTCATCAACAGCGCCCTCACATTACCTCAATATCATTCTAACTCATCAACAGCGCCCTCACATTACCTCAATATCATTCTAACTCATCAACAGCGCCCTCACATTACTTGGTTAAAACTCCATTTTTTTATTCATCAGGGCCATAAAGGACCGGGACAAGGTGTTTGCCAAATTTTTTTTTCAGTGTCGTGAGACTTCAGTACTCTGCAGCGGGAGTTTCTTGTTTTGATGCCAGAAAATAGCCAAATAAAATGTTCATTTTTGCGATGTGAATACAATTTGTTTAAATTATTAATCACTACGTATGATCCTTTGATCCTTTGAGTAGTGCACAGGGGCAGATAGACTTGCTCCATCGCTAAGGTGGAAGCAAGGAACTACATCTCTGAGAAGATCGAGTCCTTTCCTTGCCTTTTTGTGAATCAATGCCAAAGATTCTGATGAGGATCCCTCATGCAATCTTGGAAACTGTTCCTCCTCAGTAATGGAGGCGAGGACTGGCATCTATCTGAGTTACTTCCTCTCCTTGACATTCTCATGAATCATCTCTGTGCAGTCCCACAGGATCTTGTCCTCCATCCTCCTTCTCTCCAGGTTGGAGGAGGCGAGGGTGCTCTTCTCATCAGCATCATGGTCTGCTTCTCCTGGGGTATGCCCACAGCTTTCATATAAGGAGGTCTGGGGAAGAAATCAATCACAAAAGGAACTAAGTTGCGATAGAAATTGAGACATTTCTTCAAACTTATAGGATTCTTGTATGCTCCTTATTTGTACACCTTTTATTTCATAAACTGTTAATATCTATTGCTTTTAATCCATTTCCATGTCAGAAAATGAACTATGACAAGAGGATTCCTTTGACACTGCTCACCCATTACTTCTGAAAGCTTTTGTGATTTGTACACTTTGTTAAAAATATTTTCCAGACACCTCTTTAGGGTTTAGCGAATCAAAAAGTGACACTTTTTAAACACTTAAAATTGTCTTTCCCTTTTCCAGACAAGTGAGGACCCTGTTTTACAGTAACACTGTAACATCAATCAGGGAAGACCACAAACCTAAAATATCTATGGACCAACAACTCCTACAGAATTCAACGATTGATTCCGAAAGTGGGGGCAGAAATATTTCAACAGTGTGCACAAGTCTGTTGAGTTGGATACAAATCAGAAATGTTTGATGGTTTGTGTTTTGGTTCAATATTTGTCAAAATTAAGGTAGATCCTTCTTTAAATAAGAGCTCTGAACACTTAAATTTTTGTCCGTATTCATTGCTCACCTTCAAAAAGCCTGAACAAATCCCCATAATGTATGTGAGTTTAATTTTGAGACTTTATTTTAGAAATGTTTGGAAACACAGTTCTCAGTGCTCTCTCAGATAAAACTTGAGAAAATATGTAGAATTTGCTTTTCCAAATATTCACTAAACAACAGGGATGTCAGGAATTTATCTGAATTTCACCTAATGTGCACCTTGGCTTATACTTATGGCTTGTAATAATGGAAAATATTATCATGAAGAAAAATTGAACTGCCCCGGGTTAGAACTTTAATAAAGAGACCAACAGGGCCAAATAATGTTTGATGGACAATTGCCACAGTTGCACCCAGTCCATCTTATTTGTTGTAGAGCAGTGCTACACAGCAAATCATGAAACCCCAGGGGACAAGGCAGACATTTGCTCATGATAAATGAAAATGGAGGTTCTCCTGAAATTATGCCCCTGCTGTGTTGTCGGTCTAAAGGTAATTTATGTCTGTGATTGGACGTTTCATTTTATGAGTTTTACTATTAAAACTATGAAACCCAAATTTCTCCTTGAACATGTTGAACACGTCTCAGGAAATGTGGACCATTGATCAATGGTAATTTGTCATGAAAGAGCAGCAAACCATGAAGGAAAAGGAACTTTAGGCCAGGAAAATATGAACAATTCCAGTATAGTGGGTGCATTCAACTAGTTTGCCCTGGTTACAAGGATTTAAAACCTCATCGTTCCTATCGTCTTGCTTGGTTGACACAATGTACACAACCATCCCTGGGTCAGGGTCATGACCCAATTGGCCCCTGCCCCCTTTCCCAGATTCATCCTTGCAGAAAGCCAGCAATGATATGAAAAACAGGACTCTTACCTGTGCTACTTATGACGTAACCCGTCTCTTCACTTTGGAGATTTCGTCGGTCAGTCCACTGGCACCATGACGCTGGCCAGCCTCAGCGTTCATGTAGGCAGCCATGGCAGTACATTCACCTGGCAATGAGGCCTTCCCAAATCTAAACACAGAAAAAAATGACAAAAAACAACAAGAAAAGGTCACCTAAGGTTTTTCAGTCACACTGTAATAATAATTTTTCCCCAAATGAGCAAAGCATCCATGTTTCAACACATCATCACTTAGACTCTTATTGTGGGTCGCTGTTAAATCCATAAAACCATACAGTGCTGGGGAGTGCAGGGTGTAACAGGCTGGGTGGGGTCAGGGCCCAATATCACAGGGCTTCTTAACACAGTCAGACGAAAATTGTGCTAATTTGTGCAGAACAATGTGATAACCTTGAGCAATATTTCATGGCCGTGCTCGGGGTGGTTGCGTGCGGATAGACATTTCTGTTGTTACATCACTAACTTTAAGCAAATCTTTCCTCTAAGGTTAGGATGCACTTGGCTGTATGCACGAAATATGTAGAGCCTCTGTCAGTGTGAAATCGTGCGCTAAGCAGCACTGAGAAATTGGGCTCTGATTGTTACAAGCAAGGTTCCCATGAAATCTGAAAATCAAATTCAGTGACCTTTCCTGCAATTTCCAGAACTAAAATATGACAATCTCCATGGCATTTACTGCCACACTCTGCACAGGAAATTTGTACGGGATAATAAACGGGAAGACTGCCATAGCCACTATTTTTTCAGCAGTGAAAACAGAGTGGTGACGTCATCATGAAAATTCAAAAAAATGAACAATAAATGTAAGCACTATCTTTCCTTAGTTGAAAGCTGCATTGAATTGTTGAATTTGTCGGACAAAAGAAGTCACAGTACAAAGGTTTTGTATAGAATTGTTCATTTTGTGTCTGATATCTAGGGCCTTTTTACAAACAGTCTTTGGACAAAGTACATGTTCTTACCTTCACTGTCTGTGCTACAGCTAACATCAGAGTCATCTTCATCATTTTCTGCGAGGCCAAACTTGTCAGAGCTGACAAAGTGTAGACAAAGTAACGATTATTTAAGTAGCAAGATGTAAGGACAGCATAGAAAGATGGTGGGTCCTGGAAACCTTTCCGAATCCTAAAAATCCTCACCAGAATGAGACTTTCTCCAAAATTCTACGGACACATCAAGTCCGTACAGTATACAGTATGTCTGTATGTTTGTATTTGAATAAAGTGTACATGTACATGCAATGTTAGATGTTAGAAAATACTTATACATGTACGCCAAAGTTTGTCAAGCTGACAAGAAAGACTGGGATTTTGCCTTCTCATCTGAGCTCATTAATGATGCATCCAAGTGCCTAGCCTTCCCAAATTACAAGGCCAGGCATCTCATGCACAAGTCAGTTGGCGTACACACATAAATAAAGTCTACATGCAATGTTAGAATTCTGGAAATACAAGTACTTTAAGGTATCCTAAAGTATGTCAAAACTAGCTTGGAAGATTTTTATTCAAGCTGCAGCCAAGTGCCTGCCTTCAAGAGTTGATGAGACAGAGTTGACTTGGGACCGAGTTCACCTGAGATGGAGATGACTCAGAGCGAGTTGATTTCAGACCAAGTTGGTGACTTCACTTTGACATGACTGAGGAGTATGCAGCGTGTGTACATTGCCATGTTTTGCTGGACCATATCCAAATCGTTAAAAAGGTAATTCGTAAGAGTCTAAGTTGCTCATACTATCTACATCATCCTGATGCAGTCGCATCAATTATCAGTTCAACAATTCAAACATGCGCAGCATGCCAAAGTGAAGTTGGGCTTCGGCCTACATCATGTATATCATATATCAGTATGGGACGGCCTAGCTGCACATACGGGGGAGCACATCAGACCCAACGACTTGAGGAATAAACCGTTTGCAAGATGTGTGCAAAATCTTAGTGGGTGTGTTGGCCTAGGCCTACATGTGCTAAAGTTACTCGTGTCAAATTCACAGAAATGGGCCATGCACATGTACTGTAGCCAATGAGTGTAGATGGTCCTCCATGTAGGATTAGCCTCGACATGGTCTTTTCCTCCACGGTCTCAACCAGACCATGTGAATTTTATTCCTGCAAAGTGCGGAATAATTAACAAAAGTAAAATCCATTGTACTTACTCCATCAATGTCATCACGCAGGTACTTGCCAGCGATTCCTCAAAGACTAACTTCTTGAAGATACACGAAGTCACGAACATAAACGGATTGGAGCGCCCACCATGCGCTCAAGTATACCTCACCTCACCCACGTGTAGTGACGTCATGCACAACAAAATCACAACAGGGCCATTTTCCAGTACTCAAAATTCGGCTCCGTCTCAGGCTGCAACTGTTTTTTTTTTAACTATCTGACTTTGAAGCTGTAAGCACAGTAATAAGTCTAATAGAGCCACAAAACATCAAATAAGATGCAAGAAAGCCAACAATTACAGTAATCCAATGTAATTTAAACGCTTCAGGCCCACAATCGAGGATTGGTTTTGGGAACGAAGCCTGAGACGGAGACGAAGTTTAAGTATTGGAAAACGGCCACTTCAAATAGCGCCCTCTTGTTGTGTCCGCCATGCTTTTAAAACTTCAAGTAAACCTACACTGCAACATGCTGTGCTGACGCTTTAATCGGGCCAGGATAGCGACATTTGTACAAGCAGAATGTCAAGTGATGGCGTGTTACAGATTGATCTCACACTAGATGAGGATAATTTAGAGGAAGGGGCGCTAGCGCTGCTTAAATCAGTTCGACCAGGGTGGAAACAGGACGAAATAAAATTCAAGGTACCATACGTAGGCGTAACGCGAGGCTCCGGCACGGAATTGCGTAACAACGGTGGGCAACCCAGACTGTGTCCCTGACGTTCAGCAGGCATGTCAGGGGTACATTGTCAGGGGTGACTGCTTTGCCGAGCGTGAGGGGAGAACCGCAGCAAATGAATTCCCATAGGCCCCGTCAGCAGTGATAAATCCCCACATTTCACACAAATATTTAAAAATACAACTCTCACAGGTGTTCACCGTGGTTCAGGCTGCACAGAAAAAATGATGTTTGACATATCCTCTTTCATTTTCCTTTCAACATCTTCAATTTTTAGTGGGGTGAATTTAATTTTTGAGAAATTCTCACTCAAACCAGACCACCCCTTAAATGAAGGAAATTTTAATGACCAGAAAAGAAGCCATTTGAAAATGGCTCAAATACTGCAACTTTCAGATCCAGTTGCATCCAAATTGCTCAAAATTGGAAGCCCTGAATCCGGCCCAGTGTCATATTTCTTCAGTTCCCCAGTTCCATGGCCCTCGGGTCTCTGTATAGAATATCTTGAGTGTATACATGTACCTTTTATTATATTAATGAGCTCGGCAGACATTTCTGGCCTATACATGTACGTGGTTGCACCTCAAGGTTCTCCTTCGTACTGGTGACCTTTTATAAATTAAAATTACTCCAAAGGAATAGCAGTCATGGCAGTGGCATGAGCATGATGAGTGGGAATAACAAGGTGTTAAGGGTACATCCGGGACTTAAGAAACCGGGGGCATCAAGTGTGTCTAGCCAGGGACATGGAACAAAGGAGTAGGGCTATTGCCATTGGTGTAACTGTTGAGGGATTGACAGCATGTATTCATCGAGTAATTAATGTTGTGGATAGTTGACTGCTCTAAGTATTTTAGTTAGAGTGCATAATACTGACATTTTATAGGACAAGGTACTGCTTTCAGTGATGGCTGACCTACCACCGTAAGGAAAGCCTCGTGATGTTTGGAATTCTTTCCCTAGAGACCTTGCAGGAGCAGCCTATCAGCTATATAGCAAGCCATTTAAAGCATTAGATTTCACCCTCAAAACAGCTGCAGAAATACTAGATCTATCATTTGCCAACTGAAATTAATAATTGGGGGGGGGTGTCCCTGATTGTGCTGAAATTTATTTTATTTGTCCTGACAGGTTTTTACAGCAGGCATCTCCAACAAACTCATTGGGGGCTACCTCCCGGAGAATAAGTCGGACATGGTCCTGGTCCGAATCTACGGCAAGAAGACAGAGCTTCTCATCGATCGCGAGGCAGAGATTCGCACATTTGTTCTCCTTCACAAGGCAGGATGCGGAGCTGAGCTCTATGCACGATGCAACAACGGTCTGTGCTATGAGTATATACCAGGAGTCATTTTGGATGCAAAGACAGTCAGGGAAGAGCGAGTCTACAGGTGTGTACTCAACCAAGCCCTGTATGTAATTTAGGAAAGTTTAAGAAACATTGACTCAAAACATCAATACCAAAACTTGACTCTGTTGCCACCCTGGTTCAAACTTTACATTTCTGATTTGCCCTTAATTTGATATGCCTAGTAACAGTGTAGATCGAACTTTGGTTTTACAATCAATAATCATTCATAGAATTCACAAAGGAATTTCAGAGAAATTTGAAACCATCACACTTCATCAACTTTTTCAGAAGCAGTTGCTGTTTCTATTTTGGAATAACTTTGTTTTTGTTTCAAATGTGGAATTGTTGTTTAGGCTCATCATCAAGGAGATGATTAAAATGCACAGCATCAAGCCACAGGATGGAGTGGCTACTTCGCCTTGTCTCTTCCGACTCATCGATAAATGGCTGTCTATTCTTCCTGATAAATTTGAGGATGAAGAAAAGCAGGACAGGTAACTTTCAATTCTTAAAACGTTTGAACAGGACCACAGAAATATCACTCCAGAATTATTTTCAAAGTGTATAATTTTGTTGTTATGTAAGAAGGTGCTATTTCAACCTTCCTCTTTCTTTGTCCCTAAATGTTTTCCACATAATATGCCCTGTTCACTGACTACCTTGGTACTTAGTGAGAAAAAAAGAAAAAAAAACCTGAACAAAATCTAGGAAATGTTATACCAGAAGAATGCTAACTCGTTCTTGGTATTTTATTTCAACGCATTTTGCCAGATATGTCAGAACCATAGCATCTAAGGAAAAGCTTCGTCAAGAAGTCAGCCAATTGAAGAGTGTCCTTACATGCCTAGCAACGCCCACTGTATTCTGCCACAATGATAACCTCCTTGCAAACATCATTTTTGACGAGCAGAAAGGTAAATTGGACTGACCAATGTTTGGTTACGATGAGGTTATTTACACAGGTTGGATTTTGGCGTCAATTTGACAAGAATCTTGTGCCTCCTGAGAAAATTTTGAGAGTTTGTGGGTAAAGGAAATCCAGGTACTGTTGGATGGGTCTTGCACCCTGACCTCTGCTTGCTTTCTTGTGGAAATGTCTGAGTCACTCCGCGGGTACCTCAGCTGACTGATAACAGGCAGGCAGTCTGATAGTCTATTTCTTCACAAGTAGCGGTACATTTCTCTAGTGAGCATATGTACATGTACACATATATTGTACTTTTGTGTACCGTAACCATTAACACTTGAGGAACAACAGAGGGTATAGTCGTTGCAAAATTCAGCGTGAATTCAACGTGTGGCTTTCATTGATGGGAGTACATTGGACATACTTAGAGAGCCGTTATAAAGCACACAACAGTGGCAGCAGGTCGTATTGTGGACACTGCGGCAATTTTGTATCGAGGGCTTGGGCTACACACTGCACACTTGTCACACTTGTGTCAGTTCTTCTGTTGGCCAATCTTCTTTTGTCATCCAAATATTTTTCCTTTTTTAATTTTGTAGATAAGGTGTCTTTTATTGATTATGAATATGCCGGCTACAACTATCAAGCCTTTGATATTGGGAACCATTTCTGTGAATTTGCAGGTAAGTGGAATTGCTTCAGGTTGTGTCCAAAGACGGTGCTTTTGCCTTACAGCTGCCATGTCAAGTACACTTATGTCAAAAGCCAAGGGCAATAGATGGATAGAGGGAATATTTGTGGCAGTTGCATCATAGCTTTGTTTGACATGCTCATGTCAACTATGTCCAAATGTAAGTCAAAACTTGCATCAAAATTGTTGTATTTTGTCAGGTGGTCCGATATCTGTTTTAATGTCCCATCTTTATCGTTCTTGTAGGTGTGGAGGAGGTTGATTACAACCTCTATCCTGAGAAAGACTTTCAGATCAGGTGGCTACGAGAATTCCTCACAACTCAAAACAAGGCCAACAACATTCAGAAAGAAATCACAGAAAAAGATCTGGAAACCTTGTATGTCACAGTGAACAAATTTGCTTTGGTAAGTCTAACTTAAAAGAGATAGTGACCAAATTTAACTTTTTTTCTGTCACGGATGGAGTGATGGGAGGGACCCTCAACAATGTAATATTCTTGTCAGATCATAACTCACAAAACTAATTTTGTTTGTTTAGGCTGCCCATATGTTTTGGGGCATCTGGGCCTTGATGCAAGCTCACTACTCAACCATCGACTTTGACTTTTTAGAGTAAGTATCATCAGGGAAACATCACTAAAAAGCCTACTTTGTATCTTCAAAGCATGTTACTTCCAAAGCATTTTGCCTGAAAGTGTCATGAATTGGCAAATAGTAAATTGCCTTTCGTAATCAGAGAAATTCAAGCACGATAGATATTAAGGAGGCCGACATTGTAATTCCTGAATAAAAATTTTTCAAACCAAATATTGAAAGAGTGAATGCAGGTGATTCATTGACAGAGAATGAACCTGCATTGAGCTTAGGGAGACTTATTTCAAGACACAGAAATGTTAATCCTGAAACGAAAGGCAGGGACACAATCAAAGATCTTATAGCTCCGTATAGCTGTGCAAGACGGGGAACTCTGCCCAAAAGGTGGAATCACTGTGGGCGCTATTCGAGCAAGCGATATGCCTGGGCAGTGGATGTTGCGCGCACATGCATACCAGGTGTGTGCCTGGTGCAACGCCTGTGTGGTGCATGTTAATGCATAGGCACTTGCTCAAATGGCAACCAGGCCATTATGTAATGCACGTATTCACAGTGAAGTTCTCAATCTTGCGCTGCTACATATACTTTGGACACAACCATAATTTTGTATCAGGTCTAGCTCCCTACACGCCCTGTACGCAGTGCCAGTTGTTCAAGTATAAACCATTATCAGTGCCCAGACTCTTGACATCACAGACTTACAATATTTTTTTATCCCTCTTCGGATTCAGTTACTCAAAACAACGGCTGGATGAATACTTCCGCAGAAAAGAAGCCTTCTTGGCACTGTCAGTCCCCAAGTAACCATGGTAACAGAATGTGGAGAATCACCGTCACATGTGAGAGGTTGTAAAACTTATCAGACAATGACAAAAAACTCGATGCCGTCTTGGTTCTAAAGACCCTGCTCGTAAAATGAATTTTTGAAAATTATTATCTTTTACTTGGTTCTAAAGATACTGATGTTCAATTGAGTTTTTTTTGATCAACCGCTTGGATGTATGGTGAAAAAGAAAATGTTAAGTTGTGTGAACATTGATTCAATCATTTATTTCCCTGTAGATATTTCAAATACACGTGAAGGTAGTGGTATAAATCTGGTACACCGAGTTCTTTAAATTCACAAGAACATAACAATTTGTACTCTCCATACTAAAGACAATGTTGCTATACCGCGTGGTTACATAAGAGATGCCTTGCACCAATGCACTGTTTTCAATGGACAAGAAGAGCACAAAGGATCAGGAACCAGTCTATTCCAGAGATGGTGGCCATGCAAAAGCTTGCCCCGAATCACGAGGTATAGCAACAGTGTCTTTAGACTGGGGAATTCAAATGGTTATCTTAATGTTGTGTTTCAGATTTTATTCAAATTTAACTCCAAAAAGGCTTATTGCAAAACACATAGAATCCTGCGTATCGAGTATTTTCTGTTATTTTTACCAGAAAGGTTTGTTAGTTACATGTTTCACATAAACCCGCCAAACAGATTTGTTTAATTCAAAAGCCATTCCACTTTCCTCAAATCAGGGTACGTTGTATTTCTTCATTGGTGTCTTGCTATTACACGATTTTTAGAAGCTTTTCAAGGAGAAAACTCTTTGTTCTAACTGCCTGGTTACTACTTTCAAAATCAGTGCACCTTGAATCATACATGTGACCTGTCACCACAAAATGAGCAGAAAGTCAGAATTTTCAAAAATTGAGATATTGGTATTTTTGAGTTCAGCAGAAAGAGAGCTTTCCAGTGGCTTGTACATGGAAAATTTAGGGTAGAAGTGTATGTTGACAATGTGGCATTATTCTGGCAGCTTTGCATCTTTGTTCCTGACATAGTTTCAACATTTCAGACCAGGCATGCATAATGCTCTTGTCAAAACTGCTGTGAAAATGATATTTTTAACTATATGATCCTGCAAAATATTTGGAATTAAACTGGAGACAGGTTAGTCTTTCCAAACATTACAAATCCCCAAATTAACCTCCATTTCAATATGTTTTCGAACCTTCAAAATAGGAAAGAGCGGAGTGCGACTTGACGCTCATTTTTGTCGTGGCGGGTCACCTGTTTATATTTTGTTTTTCAATGTCTGATCTCAGACTACATGTACATGCTGTGGTTTTACTTACAAATGCAGTAGCACAAATTGTACATTAAATTTTTGTACCATAATTTTTACTCAAATAATTTTGACCTTGTTGCTAACCTTTTATAAATGCAACGCTGAAGAGTTTCTTAAATATCCTGACCATGCTGTTCGTGTTTTGCTTTGACCCTTCAGAATCTAAACACGAAAGCTTTGAACAAGAAAAACTCAACACATAAATCACGATTATTTGATGTACCTGGGCACAGCAGGTTGGGAAGTCAGTCTGCATATGCCACGTTGTTTCATTCCGTAATTCAAGACAAAAAGGTCTGCACACCCTGCTTCTACCATTTCCACAAGATATTTTCTCTTTTTAGAGATTTATGCACACCTGTTAGCTTTATTGAACCTTCCTTTGATCTTGTTCATCACGTACTAGATAATACTGCACACCTTGACACAGGATAAGCTCATAACCACCTGTCACTTAGCTTATTTCATAGAATTGACAGCACAAGTTTCCTCTGTATATAAAGAAAATGACTTACTTTGATTTGATACAATCTACCTCAACATTCTGTGGCAAACTTGCTTTGTTCTTCCATTCAGTACTTTAAATTTCTACCATAGGACCTGCCTGAATCTTTCAAAAATTGCACTGCCTATACTTCAGGCTGGGTATTTGTGTTACTCTCAAATAATTCTCTCATTTGTTGACTTTGGTAGACTGCGCAAATATCTTTCTGTGAAATACACATCATGAAATGTACACGTACCCTCCGTTTAATTCTACAGGAATTATGTAATTAATTTAATGTATGAATTTATGTTTGATGAATTAGTGATGTGATCTTCGAAAACCCTTCACCTGAGCTTTGTCATCTAGGTGCATGTAAACTTCCAATTGATGCGAACACACTATTGTTTCCAGATATATTCCATTTATGATTCTAGATTGTCAACGACATGAATCTAGGTCTCAAATCACGAATTAAACAGTTTTGAAAACAGGGCAGTGTTCAGATCAATCTGAAGTTGATACACACCAAAATGACAAAGTTCACCCTGTAAACAGTTTCTTGCAGATCGCATCACAAGTAACGTCCAGATATTTCATGTCATAACATAGATATTTTCATCGGGAAGAGGCTAAGATTCAGAAAAAAAATCCTGTATTTGATAATTTAAAACTAAACCAGTCTTTCCATGTTTATATTTTAAGCCTTCTCTTTTATTTGAAATATTCCGAAATCTTTCAATTAATGCCACTATATTGAATAAAAGAATGGAAAAATCTGTTCTGACTCTACACCTTTTGATCAGTATGTTCGATGCACCTGTGCCATCTCCAGACCTATTGTCAAGCAGCAATTACTAATTGATTGAACTCTTCTATTCTTGTTACATCTCTCAAACACACACATAGAATAGAAGTGAAGTGCTCAGAATGATTCCGTTTACGTCATTCACTCCTGGTAGACTTTTTTAAGAGCAGGTGCATCATGGGCAAGTATTTACCTGTAGGACAGATTCCTAATTACATCATTTCCAATGATCATTCGTGAAAGCCAAGTTGCAAATGTGTACGTTTTATCTGGTTTCAAAGAGAGATCTCGGGTCAATTTTACTCTAAAATCTGAGGTCTTGGACTTCTCACTGAGCATACCTTGGTTTTATTCGGAGCCCGATGTCCCCACCACAGAGTATGTTGCATAGAAACCGATGCGGGTCACAATGTCGTCGCTGACGAAGATGACAACGATGTGGTTTGTGTCGGATTGCCAAGATCGGTGACCGCCAAACAGACTGCCACAGAAGGGCTCGGACTTGCGACCAGACCCCATGTCCTCAATCTTTGGGACACAGAAAATTGGAAGAAGTAACAGAATAACAGTGGCTCTCGAATGAACGAACAATCAAATGACATGATGTCTCCAATTACCCTCCTGTGAAGAGTTAAGTGATGCGGGATATCCTGGACGCACGATCTCAAGGTACAACCACCATTGCCTCCATGGGGATGATAGGGGGGCGGGATGTGTGCCCCTGCAGATGCCCTTGCCCCCCTGGTACCCCCCCCATTTAAAATGTCTGCTGAGGTTATGCAGCTATGCAAGCTTCATCTTATTTTCTTGTGGTGCCCCCTTGAGAAAATGTGTGCACCGTGACCCCCTGGTGCCCCCCTCAACATTTGACCCTAGTTACACCACTGATGCAAGGTATGAGAACATGACAGAACCCATATACTAGAGATCCTACAAGTAATAAGTCATAAAATTTTAAAAAGTCTATCAATTCTTTCCAGGAATTCTAATTTCAGTTTCGGTGAATGAATCAAGATGGAGTGTAGGATGGGGTAGTGGGAGATGTTTGGAGACCCCTCACCTCAACACGATCCCACTGGCAGCCACGGTGTTCCTCGATATCCATGAAGTGAAAGGTGACATTAATTCGTGTCCCAACGTCTGTCTCAATCTCAGTCCGGCAGTTCTGGTCATTGTCATATTCATAGGGGAAGTTAGGTGATGTGATCACGCCCCGCTCAGCAGTCATCTCAATGTTGCACTTAGAAACTGTCAAAACAGAAACCGAGGAATAGAAGTTGTAATGGATGGTTAAGACTGGTGCCCAGTGGCTTCTCCGGCACTGGAAACAATAGCAGTGCTACAGCTGCAGTCATGATGCTGATCAATGATGTACGATGTACCAGGCAGGGGATCCACCCTACCTTCAAGCTCATGGGTTATCCATGGGAACAGGGTTTGTAGCTTCTGATGATAGGGTCAGGGGTTCGAATCCAGCTGGCGGCAGCATGCTGTGATCTTGGGCAAGTCACTTTACCCCTATGTGCCTCTCTCCACCCAGGAGTAAATGGGTACCTGTGAGGGCAGACACGGTTGTTTAGCCGTTTGCGCCAAAATGGCAACACCGGGCTAGTATACTCCCCAGGGAGCAGAGATGGTTTCAGGAATGTTCAGATGATGTGAGAGCCCAGTGTGCAAGGATAATGATAATACAGCGCCTTGGAATGATTTGCTCTATAGATGGCGCTTTACAAGTGCTTGCTGTTATTATTAACAGGTAGTTGTACTAATACCACAGTAATGGACGTGTCGAAAATCTAGTCTACCACGGGACACTGCCTACCATACCTCCAGCATATCTATGAGTTCAGGCAGCACTGTGGTGCCAAAACGCTAGTAATGGTCATGATCTTGACAATTGTTTCAACCACGGGACATGGTCTACCTACATGTAGAACTGATAGGTTATCTGTGGGTGCAGATGGTGATGCTGCCAATACCAGAGTAACGGTTGATATCCCAACACTCTGGTCAACCATGCGACACAGCCTACCAACTGCTAGTAGGTTGTGTCCGTTTTCACGGCCCCGATCCCTGCAACCTAGTAAGCCATACCGGTAGGATGCCGACTCCTCACCTATATCCCAAAAGGATCTCTGTA